ATTCACTTCTATTGTGGCACCAGCAGTCCAGCACAATACAGCCTGAAAGACTAACATTCAGACATGTCCAATATTTTTTCTCAAACTATTAACAGAAAATTTGGGCACACCGATATTTTTCGCTACTAACGAAAAATGCTGTGACAATTATGGTAGTTGCAAACGTCAGTAGGCACACATTTGAATATCTCCGACATTTATGACTTACTAAAATAGGTTTGTCATTGTTCTGAAAGACAAGTTTTGTTATTGTTCATTTAGTTCATAGAAACTATATCATGCTTTTGTGTTCAGTGATTATATAGTTTTTTTTTAATGCAGAATGGACAAGTGGTATTTATAACCTGCTATTTAAGATGTTTTTAACTGGATCTTTAATTTTAGGTCTTCTCAATCAGAGATGCTGCTGCAAACAACTTGAAGCGCCTAGCTGAGGAGTTTGGTCCAGAATGGGCGATGCAGCATATAATCCCTCAGGTTATTTATAAAATATTTGAACCCTAGTCAGTATTTGCATTTGTGAAATCCTTAAGCAAGCTGACTTTTTTGTAATGTAGCTCTACTGGAAGTCTGGAACTCAACTGTATTATTATCATTTTTTTGTATTGTTATCTTATGTTTATTGCATGTGAACTAGAAAAGCATGTCTAAATTTTATAGAGCTTCACATTGAAGCTTATCTAGTGTTGCAATGCCACTGATATCTCAAGTTAACCCCTCTGGTTTTTATATAATGTCTGAACCATAGTGTATTTGCATCTATGAAATCCTTATCGCAACAAGCAAGCCACCTGATTCTTTTTTTTTTAATGTAGCCTAGTGGAAGCCAGTTTGTCGTTGTTATTTCATGGAAGGTAGAAAATCATGTCTAAATATTTAGAGGTCAACTATGAAACTAATCTACTGTGGGCGTGTTGACTGATGATAAATCTAATGCAATGGTGCTGATAACATATTGTCAAGTTAATGTGGTTTGTTAATTTAAGGTTAACTTGTTGGTTCAGAAAGTACAGGATAATCTGTTCAAACAAAGCTTGTTATTCCAAAGTTTACTTTTGCTTGAGTCTAGTTCTGTCCAAATTAATACAGTGAAGTACTGCATATATATGCTTGTTGTAATAGCTTGTAATTTCTAGTCTTGTTAACTTAACATGTTTCATTTTCTAGGTGCTGGAGAAGATAAACAACCCGCATTATCTCTACCGCATGACCATCCTGCAAGCTATTTCATTGCTGGCCCCTGTCATGGGTGCCGAAATCACTTGTCAACAGCTGCTCCCTGTTGTGATTAATTCCTCAAAGGACAGGTGAAAAATTTGTAATTTGTAAATGTATAGTTTACCCATCTGATCAAGGCCTTATTAACAAATATTTTTCTAAATTTCAGAGTGCCAAACATCAAATTCAATGTTGCGAAGGTTCTGCAGGCACTTATACCGATCCTTGATCAATCTGTGAGTTGCAGTATTTTTTTTGCCTTGATTCCTTTCTTCGTAATGCTATAGGACATTTACAGGTTATTGGGGTATATTATGAATACTTACTTTGTAGGTTGTGGAGAAGAACGTGAAACCATGCCTCGTTGAACTCAGTGAGGACCCTGATGTGGATGTAAGATACTATGCAAACCAGGCCCTTCAGGCATGCGATCAAATCATGATGTCAAGCTAACTGTCTTCCTGTCCAGTATTTAGAACTTGATTCTCTTAGTCCAAATTTTGGAATATTTGTAATTTGCACTTTAGTTTGAAGAGTTCCTTTCTAGCCCCAGTAACAGACCAAACACTTCCCAAGATGATAATGTATGGCTCCGACCCCTCGTTCTCTGTGTTTGATGTTGATGATGTTGTAATTGAGCAAGATCGGACACATTATTATGTTTGTTTACATGGTAGTTTTGGGCCTTGGTTTCTGTGATTTTAATGGATGCCAACACTGCAATGTGATTTTTGACTGTAGCTATTGGTAACGGTGTAGTACTTGCATCGTACGAGTTGGCTCTTGATGTGGACACCGATATGTTGATATCTAGAAGATCAAATTGGCTTTATTAAATTTAACATTAAATATATTTTGATACCATGTTTTCTACTCCTTCTGTTTTATAATGTAAGACTTTCTAGCATTGTCTACATTCATATAGATATTAAAGAATCTAGACACAAAATGAAGGGAGTATGAACTTTATCAAAGTTAAAATTTGACTTAGAAAAAAAAGGTAAAACGTCTTTGATATGAATGAAGTTCTAATATAAAATGGAGGGGGTACTGCCTGGTTCGTTCTTCATTCCAACTCTGTGGAGTCCTTGCGTGAATGGCCTGTTCTTAATAGTCTGATGGTCTTTTGTCGTGCACCTGTCGTCTATGGATTCAAGTGTCGGCTTATAGTTACTCGTTGAATCAAGCTAGTAGTACTCCAGCTGAATGGTCTGCATCAAAGGGTACCCATACGGGGGCAAACATGACAAAATTGGAGGCGGGGCAGATGTATCCAAGTCATAACTGAATACAAGTATATGGGGGCATATTAATTTCTTTTCTATACAGAAAGAAAACAAAATGTGGAATCAAAATAGTGTAAGTACGTGTGCTACCTTATAGATGATCATAAATATGTGAAGAACACTACAATATTGGGTCATCATTTTTGCAGGTAGATCAGTTGCGCATAGGATTTCTCTTGAAAAACATCTAGCTAAAATAAATTCTGATGACTAATGCAACATGTCTAACCATTTTTTAGCTTTCTGGCTAAAGAGTGTAAATTTGAATAGGCCACTAAGCCAGCTAGTGGCGCCGTTGAATCCGGACGACGGTAACGTTTTCTGATGATTAACTAATTTTTATAGGTATTGATGGCTATCTGTAGTGAAGACAATAGCAGCAGAGATTGGGGATCGGGCGGCGTGGCCGATCACATTATATATGCTTAAGCAAGCATTGGAACCGACAAAGTGGCAAAGAGTGACAAACTCAATAGTTTTTTTTTTTTTTGCCTAGTATTGATATATAATTTCTTAACCAAGGATAGCATTTAATCTTTTTACCAACATAAAATGCATTTTTATTCATACAATTTGATTATATAATATTTATACTATATAATTATTAATTTCCTAGTATTTTCACTTATAGTTTTGGACATCAATAACGCACACGATTTTGCCAATTTTTATTTCTAATTTCCCAAAAAAATGGTTACTCTTGGATTCAAATTTATTCTGCAAAGATTATCATGCCATATTTAAATTTCTCCCCATTCTATCCTCATACATCCTCCCCTCAACCATTTCTCACATTCTACCATCAACAATCATTTCCTCTCAACCAGGAGTAATAAATCATTTAATGCATTGCATGTTTTTTTCCTTGAACATTAATCCTTGCTTCTAAGAGAAACCTAGAATAACAATCTCTTAAGAAAGGTGATAGTAGCAATAAAATTATTGAAAATATAATGTTAATTGTCAAAAACTTCATTTTGCTATTACAAACGAAGGGACTACCTTACCTTAGGCTGCGTTCGGCTCCTTGGCACGGAAAACGGAGCAACGATTAGCACGTGATTAATTAAGTATTTGTTATTTTTTATTTAAAAATGGATTAATATTTTTTAAAGCAACTTTCGTAAAGATTTTTTTTTCAAAAAACGCACCGTTTAGCAGTTTGAAAAGCGTGCGCGCGAAAAACGGGTGAGGGAAGGTGGGAACCTTTGGTATTGAACACAGCCTTAATCAGTTCCCAACATGATTATATTTTGAGACTTCAAAATCTTGTTTGAGATGCTTCTAACTAGCTTCTATCTAGACGATATCATGCAACTTGAAGGTATTTAAATATGATTTTTGATACACGTAGCAATTTAATTATGGTCATTATGATGAATTTTGCTACAGGACATCCAAAAAACATGTAATTAGCCGGGGGACACTGTAATAACACGTTTATGCTACAGGGCACTGTAAAAAGGTGGTAATTAGTTGTTGGACATTCACGATATTATTTTATTATACTTGGAGGAATTAAAGAGAGAAACAGATATGAAAATACAGTTTTACCCTTCGAACCCAATAAAGTCTCACTCCCACTCTAGGACCTACATGTCAAGGAATATTTCTTTTCTTTTATTTTTCTTTTTCTCTCTCCTTCTCTACCCCTTCCCTTCTTCCTGCTTTCTTCTTCCGGTTTTCGAAAGTTAGCATTATATTTTCAATAATTTTATTGCTACTATCACCTTTCTTAAGAGATTGTTATTCTAGGTTTCTCTTAAAAGCAAAGATTAAGGTTCATGAAAAAAATGCAATGCGTTAAATGATTTACTCCTGGTTGAGAGGAAATGATTGTTGATAGTAGAATGTGAGAAATGGTTGAGAGGGGAGGATGTTTGAGGGTAGAACGGAAAGAAATTTAAATATGGCATGATAATCTTTGTGGAATAAATTTGAATCCAAGAGTAACCATTTTTTTAGGATATTAGAAATAAAAAAAATGGTAAAATCGTGTGAATTATCGATGTCCAAAACTATAAGTGGAAAAACTGGAACATTAATAATTATATGGTATAAATGTTATATAATCAAATTGTATGAATAAAAATGCCTTTTATGTTGGTAATCCAAAAGATTAAATGCTATCCTTGGTTAAGAAATTATAGTCAATAAATACAGCAAAAGAAATAGAAATTATCGAGTCTGTCACTCTTTGTCAGTTCTAAAGCCTGCTTAGAGCATGTATAATAGCAGACTATAAACAAGCTATAAACACATATTAAGAAGTTAGAAGAAGAGAGAGATGAGCAGCGGGCTATAGCTACAGCATGAGCATGGATTTTAAGACATATTGTGTGTATGATAGGTGAGACCAGATATTAATAGTGTAGTATATATTTATCGGTAACTATTATATAAATTGACTATTAAATTGATTACAGATGATTTGGAATAGTTAGCTGTAATCTTAAACTTGCTCTTAAGCATATGTAAAGTGATCGGCCACGCCCGCAGATCCCAATCTCGCTGGGCTTTTCGCCCCTCCCAATCTCCCATAGTAGCCACCTCGACGCAAACCCTAATCCCATCGTCTCCGCCTCTCCCTCTCCCTCCTCCCCGCCTCCATGGATCGCGACCGCTCCTCCCGCCGCCCCCGCGACGACGACGACCGCCACCACCGCTCCCGCGACGACCACCACCGCCGCCGCCACGACGCCGACGACGACCACCGCCGCCACAAGCGCGGCGGCGGCGGCGACGACGACGACGACCGCCGCCGCCGCCGCCACCACCGCGACGACGAGGAGGAGAGCCGCTCCCGCCGCCACGGCCACCATCGCGACGGCGGGCGGCGGTCCCTCTCCCCGTCGGAGTCCCCCCCGCCGCCCGCCGCGAAGCGGGAGCGGTCGTCGAGCCGCGCTCCCAGGGACTCCGTGGAGCGCCGGGACTCGGCCGACCGAGAGGCACCGCCGCCTTCTTCGCGGAAGCGGAAGGGCCACGAGGGTGGTGGCAACGAGTCCGACCCGGAAGGGGGGAAGCGGGCGAGGGCTTCCGTGGAGCCGCCTCCGCCGAAGGAGGAGAGGCCGAGGCGGGAGCGACGGAGGTTTGAGGACGCCGATGCGAATGGGAAGCATGGCGATGAGAGGGGTAAGGGTGATAAGGATAACTCAAACCATGGCGCTGTAAATGGAGATTCCCGGAGTGGTCTGGTGCCCAATGTAAGTGTTGCTACTGTCTCCATATTTTTCTTTTCTAGTGATGAAGTCAAGAATTATCTAAGAAATGATTGCTTTATTTTGTTTTGGATAACTTATTAACTGGATAGATTACATCTTAGTCACATTTCTGTAGTTTATATGGTATTATGTTGGTGAATAATCTGCCAATTCTTTAGTAAATATATGGGAGTGAAGGGTTTTTATCAGGAGTCCAGGAGGGTTAGTTCTGTTCTTACGAAATGTTTCTGTTGATAGATTGATCGTTAGTGCTTTTGTCCAATTTGTTCAAGTTGCACAATACTTTCAAGGGATAAGCTTGTATTGTTGGTTGACATGAGCGATACTACTGGTTACTAGGTGGATTTTTAGCCTTGATTAAGAGAGTAATGCAGCTATGGCAATACTGCCTCCTGCTTTATTAGGAAAACTTGATCCAACATTAGGAGCCAACTAGCCATTAGATCTTTTCCTTGCATTGATGATGAACTTTGGAAGTACCTGTTCAGTGTCTCTGCTGATTTACTGATAAGAACATGCTCAATTGTTTCAGTATTGTTTGAGATGTATAAGAAGTTAATATCCTTCCTGTATATTCTCATTGGATGCACCTTCTGTGTTTTTCAGGCTGGTGCTCAGCAACCGCTCAATGCTGCACCTGTTGTGGTGCCATCATCTGTTCCTATGCCTTCAAAGGTATCTTCGATTACTACCACCAATGAAAATGAGGGAGTTAGTATTAGATCTGATGAGGTTACTGGAAAATCTAGTACAGATGGAAGTACAAGTTCAGCCGCTGGCAAAAGTAGTAATCTATCTCTTGATGCTTTAGCCAAAGCTAAAAAAGCATTGCAACTGAAGAAGGAACTATCAGAAAAACTCAAGAAGCTACCTGTGGTAAGAAATCACAGTTGTTGGTAGTCCCTTGCTTCTATATTTCTATTTTACCTTTCTAACTTATTGTGTTTTTTGGCACAGCTTAATAATAAACTTGGTGTTACTAGTACTGATACACAAATTCCTAAGAAAGAAACACAGCCTGTTTCTAGCTCTGGTGCATCTGAAATGGCTGTGGGTGCAGCTCTTACTGAGAAGATGGCAGCTACAGCAGGTGCAGTTGGTATTCCAGGCCTTGCTAACATTCCCAATTTGGATGCTGTGAAGCGAGCACAGGAACTTGCTGCTAAGATGGGATTCAGACAGGATCCACAATTTGCGCCTCTCATCAATTTGTTTCCTGGTACATCCTCTGAACTAACTGTGCCTCAAAAACCTGCGAAGGCACCTGTTCTCCGTCTTGATGCTCAGGGTAGGGAAATTGATGAACATGGGAATGTTATCAACATGACCAAGCCAACCAATTTGAGCACTCTAAAAGTAAATCTCTTATTTTACTAGCATGAATACTATGAAATGTTATCAGTAACTCTTCTGTGCAATGACTGTCACTTTTGGTTATACCTTGTAGGTTAACATAAATAAGCAAAAGAAGGAAGCTTTCCAAATAATCAAACCAGACTTGGATTCCCTTGCAAAATCAAGTGCACACTTTGATGAAAGGATGGGCATCAACCAAAACAAGCTCCTCCGCCCTAGAAGGCCTGGATTTCAGTTTATTGAGGAGGGAAAACTTTCAAGGCAAGCTGAGCTGCAGAGAATTAAGGTCTGTAAGGATCAACTTTTAAGATTAGTTTTCAAAATGTATTTACTTATCATATTTCCTTTTACTTACCCTAATAATTTGACCTTCTAGAATCAATTTGGTGAAGCACAAGCTAAAGAACTTAAAGTAAAACAAGCTCAACTTGCAAAGGCAAAGGCAGAAGTAGTCATGAACCCGAACTTGATTGAAGTTGCTCCTGGGAGGCCTCCAAAGCAAAAGCAGAAGGAAGAGATTCCTGAAATTGAGCCATGGTTTGCTGCTACACCCTTTATCTAATTTTATATTCCATCATTAAAATATAACTACTAATGTATGCTCTTTACAGGGATGCAAAAATTTTACCTTCTACAACATACGACGATTTCTCCATGGAGAAGGTTAATATGGAAAAAATCACTATATATGTAGAGCATCCAGAGCCACTGGAGCCACCAGCTGAGCCTGCACCACCACCGCCTCAGCCACTTAAGCTGACTAAGAAGGAGCAGAAGAAACTCAGAACACAAAGGCGCCTTGCTAAAGAGAAAGACAGGCAAGAAATGATCAGGCAAGGCCTCTTGGAGCCACCAAAGCCCAAGGTCAAGATGAGCAATCTTATGAAAGTACTAGGAGCTGAAGCTACACAGGATCCAACACGTATGGAGTTGGAAATACGGACTGCTGCTGCAGAGCGTGAGCAGGCTCATGTAGATCGCAACATTGCTCGCAAGCTCACTCCATCAGAGCGCCGTGAAAAGAAAGAGAGGAAGCTTTTTGAAGATCCTAACACATTGGAGACTATAGTTTGTGTGTACAGAATCAGAGACCTGTCACATCCGCAGACACGTTTTAAGGTGGATGTAAATGCACAAGAGAACCGTCTTACTGGTGCTGCAGTCATTGCGGATGGGATCAGTGTTGTTGTCGTTGAAGGAGGGAAGAAGTCAATCAAAAGGTACAATAAGCTGATGCTGAACCGTATTGACTGGGCTGCTGCGGTTGATGATGATGATGATGCTGATGAGGAATCAGACAAGCCTGTGAATAGCTGTGCATTGGTCTGGCAGGGGAGTGTGGCAAAACCCTGCTTTACCAGGTTCAGTGTACACAATTGCCGTAGTGAGGCTGCTGCCAAGAAGGTGTTTGCAGATGCTTCAGTTCCACACTACTGGGACCTGGCTGTCAATTTCTCAGAAGATTCATCTTGAGCTGAGCTTCTGTTCAGAACATGGAGGCGCCTGCTGTTGAAACCCCTGCCTAGGGATTACGATGTTCAATTCTCATGCAGTAAGTGATGAGTAGTAGCTAATTTCTCACCGTGGGTAAGTGTCCTCTTCAAGTTACGTACAAGCCTTATTACTTGCTCTGGAAGCATTTGTGGACTGAGTAATACTTCGTACTGTCATGAACATACCCTTGTAAGGGACTGCTGATCTTTTCGTTGCGGGATTTACTCATGTGAGCTAGAAACTGAATGCATGGAGGAACTGTTGAAATTTTTGCAGTATAAGCTTCCAACTATATCTGGACTGCTCAGGCCTTGAATATTGTTATGGGAATTGTGTTAATGAAAGTATGTATGCATTTTCGTAGGGTTGCAGTGCTCTTGAGACGGATTTCATATTTTCATTTCAATCCAACAATATTTGACCGATTTTTTCCATGATTGGAAATGTTAGTAGTTGCACGTTTCAGTTTGCAACTGCTGCTCCGGATGTTTATCCATACTCGATTCGGCATCTAATTTAGAATTAAAACAACATATTCTGAATTTATTTTACCAATGAGGCGGCCAGAATTTTGAAGTTTGACATATCCAAAGTAGTGTAAAACCAAACTTGTGGCATTTCTGTTTTGTGAATTATATAAGAAGAAAGATTCTCGAGGTTTTTACCTGTGTGCCATTAAAAAAGATGACCCCTGTCTCTGTGCCACTAAAAAGTTCGAGCCTCCCTCTATGCCATCGTCGAACTTTATCGTGTCTGTCCTCCACACCATTCCGTCCGTTTTTGATCCTAACGGTGAGTAACGGCGCAGCCAAATGACGCTCTTGCCCTTAGCCATGTTTCATCTAGCCAAATGGCGCTGCGGCATCATCATCAGCATCCGCCGCCGCCGCCTGAGCTGCAGCTCCTCCCGGCATCCACCACGGCGCCGTTGGCCGCCGCGTTTTTGTCCAACTCCACCGGTTCCTCCTCCCACGAGCAACACGTGACGACGCTGCGACGACGACGGGGCGGCGCCGCGACGACGACGACGGGGCGGCGCTGCGCGACGACGACGACGGGGTGGTGCTGCGCGACGACGACAACAGCGGCGGCGCTGCGACGATGGCGGCGACGGCGGCGTTGCGATGACGACGATGATGGGAGCAGCGCTGCGACGACGATGACGAGGCGTTCCTCCGCATGCCCCCTCCTCCTCCTCTCCGCCTCGACCTCGCCGCTGTCCTTCCGCCGCGGGCCCAGCTCCGCGTCTCTCAGCGCCGCGAGCGCCGCCGCCGCCTCGTCGAATGCCTCCTTCCCTCCGCCTACGCCGCCGGCCATCACGGCCGTCGCCTCCTCGGGCGCCGCCGCCACGGGGGTCGACTTGGCCATGGGGTTAGCTGCTGGTGGTGGTCGCGGTCGGCCGTCGTGAGGATCGAAGGGCATGGACGGAGAGAGGGGAATCGAGGGAGGAGAGAGAGAGAGAGAGAGCGACTGAAAGTGAAAGGGCAATAGTGACATTTTTCCTACTTGGGCCCACATGTCAGAGCTGCCAAATGGTTAAACCCAAACAGAATAGCGACGGAATGGTGTGGAGGACGCGATAAAGTTCGACAATAGCATAGAGAGAGACTCAAACTTTTTAGTGGCATAGAGGCAAGGGTCATCTTTTTTAATAGCACACAGGTAAAAACCTTAAGATTCTCTAGCCTCAACATGAATGTATCTAAGGGTGTAAATGGCTAACCCATGAAATCCACTTGTAGGTTAAAATAAGTTAAAATAAACGGACTTGTAGGTTAAAATAAGTTAAAATAAACGGGTTTGCGGCTGATCCACTTATACCCCTAAATGCATCTAGCCAGTGGCAATTTCGTTTGCTTCACAATTTTTGATTTTGTTCCAAGCAAGAGTATGATCGGAATGAAGTGTCAACATTTTGTGTATTCAAACTGAATTTATCAAGGACGAAAAATGAGCCGCAAAAAATTCATACTAAAATTACACCGCAAAAGTTACCAAGTAATCAGAGTCCAATTCCAATCTGCTGAGTGCTGAACGCAATTCATTTGAAACCGCATCTAATTCTCCAAAACCCAAAATTTTTCAGTAGTTGACACTTGAACAGTTTGCACAATCCATATCCAAGCCTGCATCACGTGATCACCATTTTTCTCCATCTCATACGGTATGGTGTGGCTCAGGAAGAGATATGGCCAATACCTCTTTCAAATTTCGTCAGAGTGAACTTCACCAAACATGAAGGTGCAACACGGCCCTTCATTTTCGATGCTATATACATACCCTTGACCTTAATACAGAAGATTTCTAGGTGACAACATTACTTGGCTCCATTACTGTTCTCATGATCTGCCCGACTTTTGTCAAATAAACTCTTTCCAAACCAAAGATTGGTGAGCCAAGCAGATAATACCTACTCAGAATGATTTGGATGCTTCCTCATTAACAGAAATCTAAAATCTAAATGTCTCAAGCAGAGTACATTTGATGGAATCCTGATGGTTAGCACAACATGACAGCGATAATGATACGATTCAAAGCGAAGCTAGTAACCAAAACATGGAAACAGCTGATGTAGCTATGAACGACCATGTGATGAATGCCAAGATAACTGAAAGCTCGTAACGACCACACGAAAGCTGCGGGTACATCCTACAGAAGTGCACGTCTCTCTCAAAAAGAATAGTGACACCAGCAGAAGCAGAAGCTGCTGCAAACGAAAGAATCGCTGTAACCTGCAATACATCCAAATATAATGTTCTTTAATGTCCCTCTTGCTAAATTATGTTAGCACTTCAAGAAAGAAGGGTCAAACAAGTGATCAAACAGGGAAATGAAAACCTTGGCATACTACCCCATCTAGCTACAAGTGCCACATGGATATTGACATGGCACCGGAAATGCAGCTGATTACTAATTTACGGTAATATTTCAAGAATGAAAGGGAACACCGAAGTTATAATATAATGAAAGAAGTTATCGACAGAAACCTACACATATGTTTTGTGTATCCATTCTAAAAAATGTATTTTACTGCACAATTCTAGACCATTAGTTATTTTTTACTGAAAGGGTATAAAATTGATCGCAAACTGACAGAAAACAACCCATATTGCCAGTGTTTCATCTCTGATTCCCTAAAAGATCTAATACAATCGCAATTTTTTTCATGTCATACTCTCATTTATGTCTGATTCCCTATGTCTGATTCCCTATGTCTGGATTGGACATGATTCATGTAGTTTTCATGTCATATTCTCGTCTAGATTGCACTTCTTTTCTCTCATTTAGATTGAATTATGACTGGATTGGACATTTAACAATATGAAAAGTTCAAACTGTTCCCCTAAGCATGAAATTTAAGAATTCTTGAACAAAAACATATGTACTACTCCCCTGTTATTTTTCCTTTTTGATGACTTCATTTCCAAATTGAAAAGGAAATTCATGTTGCTTTTTACAAATTGAAAAGCAATTACTAGAGTAATATATGAGAAATGAATCACTTACCCAATCACCAACAACAAACAGGCTTACAAGCACTGGGTTATGAAGATCTCTTTTAGTTTGTAATGAATAGATATCCAGACAAGCAAGTCCAAAACTCCAAAGAAGCTGTAGACCCATGGAAGCAATCAAGTAGCTGAAAATAGGGAGATCACAATATCGTCAATTATGTATATAGATTATATCACGTATGCACTGTTGAGCTCCTGCTCAAGCAATTCTGAATAGTAGTAAACAATTTTCATACTTTGCCCAACTTGGTCTCAAAACATTAAGTTAAAAATGGCACCCATACAATAATCAAAGGATGTAACATGTTGAATGTTGACACATTCATACACAACATCTAATGGAAAAATTCTCATAAGATGTTAAGTTAAACTTTAATAGTCACAAAGAAGAGAACAGATAAGCACACCAAATCATTGGGCAGTCCTGCCTTTTTGGTTTAAGACAGATAAATAAATTGTTTTTGGTCCCTTCCTGGCATGGAACTGAATTATATCAGGAAAAAGGCCAGTAAAGAAACTGTGAGAAAAGATCAAAACATCATAACATGATACCCAGAAAGCTACATGAGCCAATAACTGGAATAAATCTACTACTTGTTTCTTTTTAGATGGAAAGAATGCAAAAACACTGCCACATATCATGCCCCTCGATTCAAATGGAATATTCCAGAATGAATGCATTTATTACTCGTGAGGAGGTAATGGTGCTCAGGAAGAGAGGAGAGAGACTTAGGACCTTTTTATTTTTTAATTTTATTAAGAGACCTTTCCAAAAAGTATTTCTGAAAACTGAACCTTTTAGCGTTGTCTTGCCACACCAGCCACGGTGGCGTGGCAGAACAGCACTGCCACGCCAGCCTCGCGTGGCGTGACAAAGTTATTTGGCCATGCCAGGCGGGCTGGCGTGGCCAAAAGGTTCAGATTTGGAAATACTTTTGGGAAGGTCTATCAATAAAATTAAAAAATAAAAAGGTCTAAAAAATAAAAAAAAATCCAGAGGGTGGGGAAGGTTGATGATAACCAGTGGGAAGCTTGGAAATGTGGAGGCAAGGGAAGGATAGGTGTGCTAGTGCAAGTTCAGTGTGGTGGATATCTGGGCAGTTTTCTTGTGTCAGACAAGCATTATTGAATAGTTTGATTGCAGAATAAATTTATCTACTCAAACGGAAACATACCAAGAAAACATACACGACAAGACAGTACAGTTTAGCTGAACAACTATCGAAGAGCAACTTAGGCAAGAACACTCACCATGCTGAGTTTGTATACCAGCAGGCACACACCAGCTCATGGGGAATGCAACTACTGTACCTCTATCCATTGATATTTCCTGCTCATTTCAGTTACTACATGCAAACTAATCCAAACTTGTACCATTTATGTACACCCTATTTGCAGCAATAACCAAAACTAAGGAAGCTGAGTGAGACCATGTACTATAAGGCCACTTATAAAGGAAGAAGAGCAGAAGCAGGTTTTTATTTTGGAAGAATAGAAGCAATTAACAAATTTAACACAGAAGCCTACCGAGTGAAAGTCCTAAACTAGAATGTTTGCTGCAAATTAGCTTCAGCAATCGGCTCATACAGAGACGTAGGTGTCCAATGTTATTTCAAGCATTCCAAAATAGCGACTTGAGCTTGAAGCATTTGCCCAAGAACCCTTGAAATTGCACATTTACGCAATAGGCGCGCGCTGGTTGAAACTCGACCAATCCCCATGAATTTGCAACAAAATACAAGAAACATTTGACATCAAGAAGGCTAAGCCTGACACATTGCACTACAATGAAAGTTAGAACTGACATTTCAGTAGACAAGAAGCGAATTAGTAAAGGGGGAAAGAGGAGGCTAGAGAGAGAGACGTGGAAAGGCGGTAGTAGTAGGGTACCAGAAGGCGGTGTAGTTGGAGAAGCCGTAGGCGGAGGCCATGGCGACGACGGAGGCGCCGGCGAAGACGCATTGCGACACCCGCAGCGACATCCCGCTCCATGTCCCCGGGCTCCCCACCACATCCTTCATCCCCTCCTCCTCCAACTCTTCCGACTGCTGGATGCGCGCGCGGTGCGGAGGGCGGCGTGGGGGTGCAGGGCGGCGCCGCCGCACCGTAGCCCCTTGCCCGCGGATCTGCGCGGCGGCAGCGGCGGAGGAGGAGGAGGTGGAGTGGAGTGGTGGTTGGAGATGGGAAAGGCGACGGAGCAGCAGCCAGCAAGCGAGGAATGAGTTGTTGTTGCTAGGGAAGAGAGAGACGATGGCTTCTACACGTTTTTTTTCCTTTCTTGTGTTGAATAAATGAAATTAATCTTAACTTTTTAGCTATTACCAGTTTAATCTTAGAAAAGTACTCGCATGAGACTACATATACATTTGTCGACAAATTTTTCCCCAAAAATTTAACAGATATAATTATAGTACAATTATAGTGTAATTACACTGTAACTTATATGTAATTACACTGTAACTTGCATGTAACTACACATAATTTTGAATCGTTAGATCTATTACAAGATTTGTTTTGGTGAGGAAGAAAATAAATCATAGCACACACATATGTGAAATAATTTGTTCCCACGACCTCCATTTTACCGAAATAACATGTTACGGAGAGATTTTTGAAAGTTACATACAAGTTATACTATAGTTACAGTATAATTACATGCAAGTTACAGTGTAATTACACTACGATTATACTGTAATTACATCTGTCAAATTTTTGGGGAAAAATTTGTCGACAAATATATAGCAAAATCGATAGGTAAAGGGTTTTCTTCCTGTAATATTGGGATCCCTACATACATTATAATTGAAAAAGTTAATCAAAATTCATCCTTGGTTTTGGGCCGAAAGCTCATTCTTTTTACTTTTTAGCCCTAGCCCAGTCCACTGCCTCCTACCTTCCTCCACTTGGCCAAAATATTGTGATATGACATGATTAAAATAATATACATAATTTTTTTTGAGAAATAAAATACATAATTGTGCACGTAAATAAAATTCTATTCCCATAGTACGATAAGACAATACGAAATAAAATATCAAAACATGAACTAACAGTTAACGCGCATAATTTCATAACGTTATAATTTTATCACACCATGGGGCAAGAAATAAAGCTAAGTATCAAAATGTCATCGAAATCATATAATCATAAAATTCTACCTCATAATACTGTTGAACCAAAATAAAGCAAAATTAACATTAGTATCAATAAATTAAATTTCTAGCTGAATTTCTTGTTAGTTCCATTTAGCTACACATGATCTTCATTGCATAAGAAAGTTTATAATGCAACTTTATGGCATCAAATAATGGCTTAAACGGATTAAAATGCATTTATGTAAAGGAAAAATCACTAATTCGGCCCGATAATAAGGGAAAAGTAATTTGGCCCGAAGACCAGTCACGACCCAGAGGCCAGAGCTAGCCTGTGATTGGGCGGCCCTTGAGGCAAGCATAGCCCATTAACCAATCATGGCCCGTCAGTGTAGCCGTCCGATTCTGATGGACGGCCACGATCTCTGATGGGTGGCTGATGCGGCGTATGAGAGTCATGGTGTTATGGTTACGGATAAGGCGGTTGTAGATAAGGCATACCTCTTATATTTGGGGTCGCGAAGTGTATGAATACGGTATATCCTCAAGTATATGGGAATGTTACGTTAGTTTTAAGGAATTCGGCCAATGCGTAAGGAAACTAACCCCCAAATAAAGGGTGTTAGAGTCCTATTCAGAGAGGATGCAAATTATGTGATCTCGCGGGTAGAAGATTCTCCCCGAGTTCTACTTGGAAGCCAAGGCAATTCGGCATATAAATACATGGTGTCCATGGGATATGGGATCATCGAATCATAGAATAGCCACCAACCATAGCAGAGGCAATCCGGAGGACTCGAAGCCAATTCGCCGGTTCGATCTTGTTGAGACGTTCTCGACAGGGGTCAGGTCGGTAACTCTTCAGTTTATATTGTTCTCTATTGTAATCTCTGTGGTTTCCGTATAATTCATATAAACTGGATTAGCACTGTTACCTTGCGAGGGGCCTGAACTAGTATAATCCTTATCTTTGTGTGCTTGATGTCGTTTCGTGTTGACTCTTGTTACAATGTACCCCAATACCCTCAAAACATGGTCTATGATTATAACCCATCGACAGTGGCACGCTAGGTAGGGGGACTTGGTGCTCAAGGTCTCGCTGAGATGGCTTCAAGCTCAAGACCTTCTAACAATGATAGCTAAAATTGTCTTGGCCTGGGAGATCCTACCCAGCCGGCGTTTGCATGGACTCAAGTCGAATCCTTCTGCTTTCCCATCTTCGCCGCAACTCCAATCTTGCCTTCCCTAATACCAGTCGGGATCGAGATCGCCGCCACGAGGATGACGGAAAATAACCCTCAACCGTCTCCTCCTCCTGTCCAATTAGAAAAGAAGGCGCTGATGACTTCAGCTTCTCGGGGAACTCCTAAGGTGGCCAAACCCCCGAACATCTGTTAAGGATCACGTGCCAACAAGGAAATCTTCGCCCAATCACCACACCTGGTGCTTGATCCGCAAGGCGTCTCAACACTCTCTGGTCGAGTGTCGGGTGATACTTAATGTGAAGGCTGAACTTGATGCTTGTAAAGATCGAGCTATCCAGCACACATCTCCATACAAGGCATGGTGCCCGATCCACAAATCGAAAAGTTACCCCCTTACCGGTAGGGATGGCAGTCGGGCACGACGGGCACGAGTAGTGACTACCCATACCCGTGCCCGCGAGGTAATTCATGCCCGCGGGCATACCCATTATTACATGACGGGCAAGGAACACTACCCATGCCCGTTGCCCGCGGGCGCCATGTGCCTGCGGGCATGCCCGTTTACTCGTCACAAACTCACAGTTGAACATTTCAACCACAAATCTCCACAAGCAGAGAGACATTATCACAATTTAAAGAAATGGTACAGTTGTACCAAGTTCAACAATACAAGCATTACATGTTCATCAATACTAGATGGTGGTATTTATACTAATTTGACTGAGGGACCACATGTCAGTTGGTTTTTGCGGGTAAACGAACGAAGCGGGCATGGGTAGTGACTACCCATGTCTGTGCCTATATGCCCGTTGGGTATAGGTTTTGATGCAATAAAAAACCCATGGGTACTAAATGGGGAACAAACCCAACTCTATTAGGGTTTTTACCCACGGGTAAACAGACAAACGGGTTAAATTGCCATCCCTACTTACCGGCTGTAAGATCTTCTAGAGATTACTGGATCCATGATCCATGTCCCTTGCTATCCGATCCACCAACGCCGAGAGCAACCTTGAGATGCATCCGTGGAAGATATGCGAAATGGGAACTGCAGATCGCCTGGTCGGATTCATCGACATCGATCCTTCCGTCCTTCACAACTTAGATGACCAGGAATCTTCAGGATCCAACTCCCCATGCGAAGTGAATGTGATCGAAAGAGTCGTCGAGGACATACACGAAGAGGGCGAGATTCGTTTTGGAGATGAACCGCGAGCTCCTGTTCCACCACGTGAACCAGTCGAGCCGGTTCGAACTCCTGCCAAACACTTCACCGTGCGTGGTCAACTCTCTACTGAGGTAAACTCCGTTCGACCCAGTAACCTTCCCGGAGGCGGACAACTAGGTCAGACATATATAGTCGACAATAGCCAACCTCAACTCTGCTTTCTTGACCGCAGCCGAACCAACCCCGCAAGGTCCTGCTCGAGATCCCCGACAACATACCGATGACAGAGTAACGGAGAACGAAGTTGCCGAGGACGCCCACGGTCCCCACCCTAGTCGAGACCTGGACCGTACTCCTCAAAATGCATCATCAAGAAGGCCCATCAACCTCATCCCCGTCTAGATGACCGCGATCGTCACAACCACTTGAACGGGAGGAGGCAGGAGCTCGAGGAGGAGGTCTGGCGAGGAGCAGTGGTAGGCTCTCGCTCATGTAGTATTTTTGCAGTATGAACACAACTCAGTTGGATAGAGTCATGGTATGTTAGGATTAGGATAAGGAGTTCTCCATCTATATAAGGAGAGATCCTATCCTAGATCAGTTAGCATTAGATCAAGATTTATCTTAGTGCCCATCAACCCTACCTTGTTGGTGTGAGGGAGAGCATCGTGCTATTTAGGTTCAGGGCCATTCTCTATTACTTCTTCTATTATGATCCAATCTATTCCTCTTCACCTCTTTTATCCCATATAATCCTAGCACGTGACACTTTACTCTTTTCGGTTTCCTAGTCTTCTCAGAGATTTGGGTATGTCTTTAGTACTTTACTCTCTTTGTAAGGCTATGAGCTTAGTAATAAAGTTATCTTGTTTATTTAATTGTGTTCGCAGTTCATATATTGCTTTGTTAAGTGTATGCTCTATGAGTAGTTTATACCTCTTTCATATAATATGTTTAGGCTAGTCGATCTATGTCACGGTATCGGTCCAATGATCTTAACAGGTCGCACTAGTCCTAACTTTTCCATTCAAAGGGCAGGAGTCCCGAGGGAATTAGTTGTATTATTTAGCAATGTAAGCATGGTGCTTAGATAGATTAAATGTTGTTGGATGCGGGTGTGCCCCACGGAATGCAGAGGTAGCCGGCAGGTGGTGACAACCATATCCATCCTTCGGAATACAAACGACGGATATGGTTTTCACCACCTGCCGCCTATGTCACTTTCCATGGGGTTTACCTAGGGATGTCAATTGGGCGAGAACCGTTCCCGCCCGCCGACTCTCCCCTAACCCTAGCCCCAAAGCGGAGAACAGGGACAAAGCAGCCACCGTCCCCGACCTCGCCAGGCCCCCGGAACTTGATTAGGGCCCCACAACGATGAAGGTTGGTTCCTGACAACATAGCGCGGGAGGGAAAGAAGCTGACGATGAGGTGTGAAAGGGAGGCCGGCATCCGGTGGTGTGGTCGACAAAGGCAGGGGTCGATGGGCATGATGAAGGCCAGCTGGGCGGGGTAGGGTGAAGGCTAATGGCGTGGGACAGAATGGAGGCGAGCATTGGTGGCATGGACGCTTAGTGCAGGAGAGAGACTAGCGGTGATGGCCGGCGAGCGACGACCTAATGTGGGACAACACCAGTCTTGGCGATGGAGCGCAACACGAAGACGAAAAGGGAATCGGGAGTGTCGGTGGCGGAATGAGTGGTCACGAGAAAAGATAAGGTTTAGGTTTTTTCTGTTGTGTATGTATGTGATTGAGGTCATGGCCTGATGGGCCTCTTGGGC